GGTACAGTTACATTATCTTCCAAGAAGGATGAAGATTTTTTAGAGGAAGGAAATTGATATGGCAGTAATGTTACATCTCTATATCATAAGAATTTGTGAGTAGACATGTCTTATAAATGATGTTCTTGGTGAAATTTTGGACTTATTGGGTGAGACATTGGTTGTATAGGAGAGGCAACAAAAAAGTTTAAGAATCGAGTAGTCTGGTAGCTTGTCATGAATAATTCCAAAGGAGTTTGACATAGAGTATATGAGAGGGTAGTTTGTTAATAATGTGAGTGGCATATAGAATTGAGTAAAGCCAAAAATGAATGGATAAATATGAATGAGACATGATGGATCTTGATATATCTAACATATGATTATGTTTTCTTTCAACTACCCCATTTTGTTGTGGAGTGTGAACACAAGTGGTGTGATGTACAATTCCAAAGAAAGTTAAAAAGGTTTGACAATAAGAAACTCTAGCCCATTGTCACTCCTCAGAAGGTAAATTTTGGCATTGAATTGATTCATGGCCACAATAAATACACCCATGTACCCCTACTATGATCATCCACAATTGTAAGAGATAAATGAGTGTTATATTTCCTTACAAGGCCCCCAGATGTCAACATGTAAAAGTTCAAAATTGTGAGAGGATTTGATATGAGATGAGTGGAAAAATAGAAAAGCAAGGGAAAAGGTGACCTATGATATGTTACCCAAAAAATAGAAAACCAAGGGAAAAGGTGACCTATGATATGTTACCGTGGGACAACATTCACATTTTTGTTATTTGATCAACATCAACTTGAATACATTGAGTTTTCAAGAAGGGTTAATTGCTAAACAAACCTTAACCTTTTTGCGTTTGGCAATTTTATCCCAATCTTTGGGTAATTGCAATATAATCTCGACACCAATTTACTTATTGCAAATTTGGGTGCAGAGTGATTGATTTTAGGGATTTGTGGATCGATTTTGTGTCCAAGTCTTCCATTGACATGGGTTTTTATGTCATCCACGTAGCAAGTTGACAATTTCCACGTATTTAATGTATACCCACGCACAAAGCCGAAAATTCCACGTCAATGTAAGCTATCGGTGATGAGTATCCTCCTAGATCTGGAGTGAACCGATAAATATGAGCTCCGATCAGTTTGAACCGCCTTCAAATTGACTAGTTTTTTTAAGGTCCAATCGGTTTTAGTTTCGAATTACAATAAGTAAATTGAGGTCGAGATTATATTGCAATTACCCAAAGATTGGGATAAAATTGCCAAACGCAAAAAGGTTAAGTTTTATTTAGCAATTAACCCTTTCAAGAAAGGTAAATGTTCAAGAACACCTAATAAAGCATGTCCTAACACTTTATGCAAAAAATACAAAAAATTATCATCAACAATAGAAGAACAAGGAATTTTGAGGTTACGGGAAGAATGACATACATTATTCTGAACCAAATAAAGTTTCCCCACCAGTTTTCCCTTAGCTAAAGTTTGACGTGTTTCAAAGTCTTGTAGAAAACAAAGATTTTGTGTAAATGTGCATGACATCTGAGACTGAAGTGTAAGCTGAGGAAAGGATAGAAAATTATACTTGAATTATGGGATGTAAAGTACATCATGAAGTGTTAGAGTAAGGGATATTTTGACATAACCTCTATGTGTGACCTAAATGAAGTGCCATTTGGCAAATCACATATATGGCAGGTGAGAAAAGTTAAAGATCATGAATGAGAGATATGTCAATGCACATATATTTAATTGTACCAGTATCCAATACCCAATATCCATTATCTAAACCTTCAATTGTACTTAATACATAATGAGTGGAATTAATACCTGCTGAGTTGACAACATAATCTGATTCATTCATCTCATGATTTGTCCCCTTTGAGCAAAAGAATAACTCTTGTTTTATGAATGTAGACAAGTCAGTTGGAGGCCCTAAACCTTGACAACTGTTCTCTCAAGTAAATGATTGGGCTTTAGTTTTTTCAACAACTTCATTAGCATATACTTTTGTCCTTTGTTGTTCTTTCGGTTTGTCATACCAGTCAGGTACACTATTCAACTTAAAACATCCTGCCATCACTGGTGTATTGCAGTATTCACACACTAATTTTGTCCTTTCCTATTTAGTCCTCCATGTAACCTCATATGCCCATGTTATGTCCTTTTTACCCACATATTGTCCTCATATTCATATGTTACTTCCATGGTTCTAAAAACAAAACTGGTCATCGAACCAATTAAGCTACTGGTTCAATGATTTAATGGTCAAACCAGTGGCTGAATTGGTTTAATTAATAGACAATTTTTTATTCATTTTATATGTAAAATATATAATTATATGTATTTTTTTCATTAATTTTATAGTGTAGGACATTTTTCTAAATAATAGCTCAATAGTAGATACAACCGACAATGTTAAATAATGTTATTAACTTTATTTAATTTTATTTTTTATATTTTAAATCTTAATCTATATTTAAGTTACAAAATAGAGAAAATAGAAACAACCCTATTTTCATTTTTAAATCAAATTTTAAATTTTTATTATTGATTAGAAAATAAACAACAAACATAATGTGCATAACAACAACAACAATAAATTGTTTCTTTCTGTTTTAATAAATTGGTAATATATATAGCCCAATAGATAATTGATGTGGCATTTGGAATAATTATAAGGTAATGACCGCTCCGCCAAGCTGGCCTTGAGACATACGCGCCGAGCTGGCATAGGATTCGCATATGTACGATTGGTCGAGGCCAAGTATGAGCTCAGTGCATGCACCGGGTGGTTACTGGGAGGCTTCCTGGGGATAACTCGGTGTTGAGGGTGGCCGAGCTACGGAAAGTAGGGGCGCTGAGTTAAGCAAACCTGCGAAACTGGGATTCTCGGATGAGATGGGTTTCCAGAGAGACGGATGAAAGAGGGATTCTGAGACTTAGAATATCACTATAATGGGACTCTTAGGTTTATAAAAGACAGGTTCTTTATTCTTTTGATGATACATACACGCATATTCTAGGATACTCGACCATTTTTTCTCTAAAAAACCCTAGTGACTTGAGCGTCAGAGTGTTCGCGCCGGGACCTTCCCCGGCGTGTTTGCAGGTACCGGCGATCGAGGAAGAAAAACCCGATTCGAGGAAAGTGGTCAAGCGGTTAACAATTTCGTTGTGTAACAGTAATCCAATTTAAAAAATAGTAAATTTTGTTTTTTAATGAGTACAATTTTGCTTGTAAAGCTCAATATTGACCCCATAATTTCAGCAATGGAACATACACACTAGAAATACAAGTAAAAAGTATGTGCGATTTAAATCACTTCACAATCAATCAATTTTAAATTCATAAGCTTGAGTTGCTTAACCATTCAAACATGTACCGGTTCAACGATTTTTTATCGATTCTCATGTTTGTGGTTTGATGTAGCAAACCGGGCCGGAATGAAGGTCAGTTCCCGTTCCAATCGGTCGAATCGGCCGGTCCAGTCCGTTTTTCAGGACCATGGTTACCTCTGCCAGAAGTGTTCCTAACCATAGTTGAGCTTTCAAATTGACTATTATATATCAAACTTATAGTTTTATGCTGCTCCACCCTCACCAGCATAGAATATGCCTTATCAACCTCAAGTACAGGCTACATCAGAAGTATCGGTGATCTTACAAGCTCATCACATCATGCAAATTGATGAGAAGTTATATCAACTTGGTTTGATTTTTATTCTCAACTACATTCTTACACATCGGGCGATTACAGATAGTAGGACTCTCAAATTATCATATTGATCCCAAAGACGTTTGATCCTTGACAAATACTTCTTCAAATTATCATATTGATCCCAAAGACGTTTGATCCTTAAAAAAATACTCCATAACACTGTTATGACCTTGAGCAATGCTAGCAATTTCTCTTTGGAACTTATAAAGCAATGGTCCATTATTTTGATCATACCTTCTAGTTATACTTTTCCAAAGTTCCTTAGCATTATTTGCATAGACAAAGCTTTCAACTATATCCTTTGATAATGTGTTTAGAAACCATGAAGTGCTCATATAATATGTTTCTTCCAGGCCTCATAGTTTTCATCATTCTCTGCTTCAGGGAGCTTACCATTGATGAAACCGAGTTTCGATTTAGCTCCAAGCGCAATCGTCATCGACTTTCTCCATGGAAGGTAGTTAGTTCATGTGAGCGGATGCAACACAAAGATCATGTCTTGATTATCGGAACATTGAAGATGATTCGAGTCTTTGATAATGGAATTTGATCTGGATGAAGTTGCCTTTCCATTGCCGGCATTCAACAACGGCCAATTGTCGTGTTGCAAGGATTCGCCATTTTTAGATGAAATCTACCATAGCTCTGGATACAATGTAAAATGGCGAAATAAAGAGAAACATATCTAGAACCATAAAATCATATAGCTCAAAATCATCGTTCTCATTTCATCATAATGTTCAGAACATGAAGTGATCACCAAATGGATGTTGCTAATTGCTACTATTGTGCTCTGAAATTACAGCTACTGTCTTGGCAAAAACTTCAGTATTATGTAAGCAATAGGGTTATTTCATCTTATACCGTCAATAAATTCCACAACCTGAAACCAGAATCTGTGATAAACATACAAATAACAAGAGGTGAGGCTACAAATAAACCGCCATAATGCCATTATTATAACAAAAATCCATCATCATCATCATTATAATATTAATTTATTATTATTAAAAACAGATGAACAAAATTAAAATTACCCACAAAATTGAGAAATTGATGAAGAAAAGTACAACATTTAACAGATATAACAAAAAATGATGAACGAAAAAACATGTAAACACAATTTAGCATAAGCTACTAATTTCAATTTCATCCATAGAGCCCCATACATCTTTTCATAAGCAAAACACAGAATACTAACAAAGCAACCGGCTTTACATATAAGCTTTAAAATCACTACTACCCAGACAAATCAAAACAAGAACCCCAAATCACAAACCCTATTAAGAGCTAGTAAATTTAGTCACAGCCTTGGTCCCCTCCGAAACAGCGTGCTTCGCGAGCTCGCCTGGCAGCACCAACCTCACCGCCGTCTGGATCTCCCGAGAAGTGATGGTCGGCTTCTTGTTGTACCTCGCGAGCCTCGCCGCCTCCTGGGCGAGCTTCTCGAAAATGTCGTTGATGAAGCTGTTCATGATCCCCATGGCCTTGCTCGAGATCCCGATGTCGGGATGGACCTGCTTCAGGACCTTGAAGATGTAGATTTTGTAGGTCTCCACATTCCGCTTCGCCCTCTTCTTCTTCTTCTCACCGGCGGCGGCACCGCCGTCCTTCGGCAGCTTCTTCCCGGCCTTGGGCTTCTTCTCCGCTGGGGCTTTCTCAGCTACGGTCGTCTTCTTCTCCTCTGCTGGCTTCTTTTCGGCGGGCTTCTTCTCTGCCTTTGGTGCCATTGTAGAGATGGTGAATTGGTAGATAGGGGATTGGGTATAATATACGCTTTGTGAATTTGCAGAGAAAATTGAGCGTAGAAGGTAAGCGATATGGGGTTTTGGTATAAATAGGGAAAATGGGTGGGATCTGATTGGTTCATTTAAGGTGACGCGGATCGTGGATCTGAACCGTTGATTGAGATATGAGGGTAAGTAAGTGCGGAGTTTTGAACGATCCGATTTATATGGCAGGTGGCTTGTTTTGATTGGTTAGAAATAGTTGCGGCGGATTCTGTACAGGTCCGTTGATAAAGGTGGTGATCAACGGCGTGGATTTGATTATTAAAAAAGGCGGGAAGTGGCGTGTGGTATACCATTTTTTGGGATTACCACAAAGTTTCTCCTTTGCCACGCGCGGTTTTGTGTGAAAATTTGTGCTTGCTTCTTCCGTCGTTTTTCAATTATTAGTATTCTGTGTTATGCTTAAACATGAAATTTAATTAAACTAGTTTTAACCCCGTGAATTTATACGGAAAGTGATATAAATAGAGGAAAAAATAATAATGAAAAATACAGAGAAAAGTAAAAAATCATAACTTAATCAATGAGAAAAAATATGATGTAAGAAAGTGAATCTAAATATTAACAAAAACTTATTTATATACAACATTTGTCTTTTATGCAAATTTTATTATATTTGGCTTTGATTATGTAATCAATTATAATTAAAATGACTAATAATTTTTGTATGAATTATAGGAACATTATTGATTAAAAAGTAGGTACTGAATACAAACATTATCGATACTATAAACATGTATCGTTTTACTAAGCGTGATTTTATGAATACATGGATCGTTCACGCATGATTTCGTTGAAAACTAGACTAGTTTAAAAAAAATATAGGTGGAATTTAGACTAGTTATGTGTGTTCGACGAGATGAGGTGTATCATTCACTAAGATGAAGTGTATTAGTAGTTTTTGTTCATTAGTGTGTTGAGTTTGTAACCAATTTGTGATAAAACCTAACTAAAAATATTTTATATCTCACATAAAGTAATGGGCGAGTGATTTTGAGTCATATAACATCATTTAAGACCGAACTTCAGTGTGTTTTTATGTTCATTGGAGTTGGTACTGACGGCCCGATATCTGGTACTAAAACACCATTTAATGAGTACTATCTAACTCTATGTCTGGTAACAGTTTTTGCAAATGTTAACCAAATAAGATAATCCATTTTCGTTGACTAAAGTAGGTACTAATTGATTAAAAACAGGTACTACGTAGAAGAACATTCGGTAATATTTGTTGTAAAACTGGTACCATTTTACTAATCTTGATTTCTTTAATCCGTCATGTTTACCATGTCAAGTGGATCGTTCACGCTTGATTCGGTTGAAAAATAGTCAAATTTTAAACATATATGTAGAATTTAAAGTAGCCATTTTGAGAGCATCTCCAATGGGTTGTTAATTGTAGAAATATGGAAGATGTTCAACAAAAAATGTCTCCAACCGTGAATGTCTAAATTCTATTCTTCATGACATGGCTAGAGAGAGAAAGAATAAAATCTAGAACTCCTTCTACATGTAGAAGTCTTGCTAGACATGATGAGTTATATTTTCAAAGATGAATAAATAAACCACTGGAGACCTTTTATGTGTTTGAACATCTATTTCTTCCACGTGGATGGAAAATCATCTATTTAATTGCCACATACACTACAATTCATGTTTACCATTGGAGATGCTTTGATCATTCAATGAGATGAAGTGCATCATTCAATGAGATGAAGTGTATTAGTAGTGTTTGTTTATTAGTGTGTTGAGTTCGTGACCAATTTGCGATAAAACTTAATTAAACACATTTTAAATCTCATAGAAACTAACAAGAGAGTGATAATGAGTCATATAAACATCATTTGAGACTGAAATTCGATTTTTGTTTATGTTCGTCTGAGTTGGTACTAAAGACCTGATATTTGGTACTAAAACACCAAAGGCTGGTACTATCTTACTCTAGGTCTAGTACCGATTTTTGCAAATATTTACCAAAATTAAAGTAATTCATTTTCGTTGACTAACAGTAGGTACGAATTGATTAAAAACAGGTACTACGCAGAAGAAAAAACGGTACTATTTATGTCAACACTAATATCGGTTTAGTAATCTTGATTTCTTTAATCCTCCATGTCTACCATGCCACGTAGATCGTTCACGCGTGATTTGGATGAAAAATAGTAGAAGTTAAAACATATAGAGGTAGAATTTAGAGTAGTCATGTATGATCATTCAATGAGATGAAACATGTCTTTAACGAGATGAAGTGTATTAGTAGTTTTTCATTAGTGTGTTAAGTTTGTGACAAATTTGCGATTAAATTTAATGAACCACATTTTAAATCTAAAAAAAAACTAATGTGAGAGTGATAATGGGTCATATAAGTATCATTTGAGACCGAAATTCAGTGTTTTTTTTATGTTCATCAGAGTTGGTACTGAAGACCCGATATCTGGTATTATCTTGCTTTAGGCCTGGTACCACTTTTTGCAAATATCGACCAAAATTGAAGTAATTCATTTTCGTTGACCAAAAGTCGGTACTAAATGATTAAACATAGGTACTACACAGAAGAAGAAGCGATATTGTAACTGTTAGTGTCAACCGTTAGTGCTTTGATACCACTTGTTGGGATCTATGAGGATTTCGTTATGCACAAATCACGAATTCAATAGCAAACTTAAACTTATGCGCAGCGGATCTAAATGTTTGCGTAAAGAACTTACGGCTTAAAATTTATGGCGATCTGGTTGATCTTCTGGATGGCCGTACACAACACACCAATGAAAAGTGGACTGCAAGCTTGTTTTCATCTGTTTGCACCATTTTGATCCGGTTTTCGATCCGATCTTGTTCGTGTAACCCTAAGAAGATCCCAACAGTAACACCCCGCCTTCTTATAATAGAAATAATAAAATCAGAGTAAACCTTTTGCTTTTTATTTTTGAAAAACTCTTAAATTTTATTTTAAAAAATACTCATGCTGACTCGCATGATGCTACTTACTTAACTCTTTCTCATGCAGACGTAAATAAATACATGCAACCTAGTCAAATCCATTATATAAAGGTACGACGGAGGTAAAGGCATTATACATCATAAGTCCGAAATCTCATAATACATACTAAGTATGAATATGCGAAAGGTAAAACATACAGAGTGTACGCATAGTAATAATAATAAATGTTCAAATGAATGACATGTAAATGCGTTACAAAAGGTACTACTCATGACCACGCGCCACTAGTGCTCACGCGTCACGCATGACTCCGTCACCTGAAAAACGTAATGGGGGCGTGAGCAAAACCACTATGCTCTGCAAAGTAAACAACATCATTAATAACAATATCATGACTTAAGCATATAAGTCGAATCGTACATCGAATCTACGCATATTCGTCGCAGAACAGTCGCATACTTTACTCATAATTTTCTCGCCCATGCTCATACCGGTCGTCTATCTATCGCATAGTTCATCGCATATGTCTTCGTACTTTTTAGTGTGAAAAACTTAGTTTTTATTGAGCGGCGTGAAAAATTTAACAGCACTTCAAAACGGGGTAAAAATAACTATTTTCACTTTCTTAAAATATATAGGGTGTTACTATTTACCGCCTCCTATTACTAGTTACCGCCCCCCTTGGACGATTTTGTCCTCCTCATTTTTTCTCCACATCAAAATGAGCTCTTCTTTTGAGGTAATTTTTTTTTATTTCCCGTCCGGCCGACTAAACCGGACGGGACTGGCTGTGTCCAACGGACTGAACCAGACGGCCTTCATGGCGTCCGGCCGGGTCGGCCGGACAACAACCGGCTCGGACGTTTTTTAGGGTCGTACGGACCGGTCAGTGTCCAGACAGACTGGCCGTACGACCCATGTGGTGTCTGGCGGCGACGGCCGGAAGGAACCCGGACCGGCCGGACACCTTATTTTTTTTAAATAAATAATAGGGTATATTGCAGTTTTGATACTCGAACTAAAGTTCATTTCGGAATCAATACCCGTTTTTTAAAATTTGCAAAATCAGTACCAAACTTTCATTCTGTTAGCGACGTTAGTACCCGGCCGTTAGATCTCCATTAAATTTTCGTTAGTTGTTAACGGAAGTAGGCAAAATGGAGGAAATTTTTCTGTTTTTTTGGCTCATGATGATATCTATATACATAGACATTTTTACCATTTTTTTAAAGAAAAAAATGCAGCCTCCACTATTTATAAGAAGAAAATTGGATAAAATCGATTTTTTTTTTAAATATAATAAATCGAGAAAAATGAGAAGACATGGTTTCTCTTCTAGTTCAAGCAGTATATCTTGAAATAATAATTTTTCAATAACAAAAATATAAATTTCCTTCTATTTTGCCTACTTCCGTTAACAACTAACGGAAATTTAACGGAGATCTAACGGTCGGGTACTAACGTTGCTAACATAATGAAAGTTTGGGTACTGATTTTGCAAATGTTAAAAAACGGGTACTGATTCCGAAATGAACTTTAGTTTAGGTATCAAAACTGCAATTTACCCTAAAAATAATATTAGAATTTATTTTGTTATATAAATTATTATTGTGGTACAAATTCGAAATAATTATGTTATAGATTGGACGTTAGATATTATTGCTTTAGGAATTAGAAATTATTATGTTATCGAGTCGAAATAATTCTGTTATAGATTGGACGTTAGATATTATCACTTTAGAAATTAGAAATTAATTAGATTTGTGTATCTATAAATTGAATGTTAGATATTATCGCGTTAAGAAATATAAATTATTATGTTGTACAATCGAAATAATTATGTTATAAATTGGACTTTAGGAGTTCGAAATAATTATGTTATAAATTGGACGTTAGATATTATTGCTTTAGGAATTAGAAATTATTATGTTATCGAGTCGAAATAATTATGTTATAAATTGGACGTTAGATATTATTGCTTTAGGGATTAGAAATTATT